TTGATGTTCTCACACGAGCTTGAGTCTCAACCCCCACCCACGATTTTATATTGGTCATGTATCCGACAGTTGAAGAGTGAAGGACCGGGCTGCACGGAACTTCTCTCCCTGTTGTACGTTCTGATCAAAATGCTAGGTCCAAGGTGGAAAATTGCGCTAAGCGAAATTTTCGAACCGAAAATTGAGGTCGGAAATTTCGGCCATTTTTCTAAAATTCTGGCGAAATTTTAGTAGACCTAAAAAAATTGCCTATATATTATTGGCACCGAAATGCCAGATCCGCCTAGATTTGGCGGCGAAATGCCAGATCCGCAAATGATCTGGCGGCAAAATGCGACTTTTTCCACCAAGATAGATATATTTTTTTGGACCGAAATTATCGAAATTTTCACTGTTGAAATTTTCGGCCGAAATTTTCTTCAAATGTTTTTGAAGAATTCGGCGAAATTTTGCACCATGCAGAGGTCCTTAAAATGAGGGTCTAGATTTACCAGCGGGAGGTTCAGAAGTTTTTTTTTTGAACCAGGCTTGCCAGCGCGAAAGTGTTGGCAGGCGAAAACCTGGATTTCGTGCAGACACTTTTCTTCCGCAGTAACACCTCGCCACTGGGTTTAGGGTTTCGGGTGGCAAATGTGCACCGTCGCTTTAAACCACGCATAAACGTGTTGAACCGACTTAGGTACCCGTCAAAGCCATAAATGTTTTTAGGCATGAGAAAATGGCCCGGTCGGGTCGGGCCGACCCCACCCGACCCAAGGACTCGGCCGAGTTGGGTCAGGACCCTCGAAGTCCTGACCCGGGCGAGTCGAGTCGGGCCTTCCCGGTAGACATGAGCAACGAGCGAACTGAACACGTTTGTCTCGAAGTTGTTAACCGAACACGTTTGTCTCGAGGTAGACACGTCCTTTTGTTAACCGTCTCCTACCCTAATCCAACCTTATACCTAACGTTTCCAGCCACACTGTAGGCTCAATGTTTAGGCTCAATGTCGTAAGATCTGAAAAGAGGGGAGGGAGGGGGGGTTGGGTGGGGGTTTGGGTTGGGAATTGTAAATTCAGTTCAGTGCGGTAAAATGTGGTGAGCAGTGGCGAATTGTTTGGAAATATTCGTTCCAACACATTTGTTTGTGGTGGGGGGTTGGGTCGGGTGCCCATGCCTAAATGTATTATGCTTTCTGTGGAAATGTTGCAAGAGAAAATTGACATCAAAACCACGTTTTGTTTTTCCCAACGACATCTTCTAGTGACATGATGAAGGCGTATATGGCATGCCATCTTAGTTTTGAGGCTAGCTGCAGCATCTCAATATTGAGGCCAAGACTTGCCAGCCTTCACAAGGTAGGAGTTGAAGCCACATGTTGCACATGTGGGCCAGGCTGAAACAACGGCCTACATGGCAGAATATGGCATACCACAGAGACCAGGAAGGTGAGTACGGGGTGAATGGAGTGGATTGGTGGCTATTCCAACTGTAACCTCACTTTGCTGAGGGCAAGGTTCAAAATTACGATTTTCGCATTTTACGGTCCGTTTTTTACGGTAATTTTCCAGAAATACGACGTTTTTTTGTTAGAGAACTGTTGTGACCAAGAAAAAAAAAGGGGGAAACAAGGTCGTATACATTTTCAATCATGCCCAAAAGCGCACGCATGCAAGGAGGGGTTCGTCCTCTTCATCCTGGTACCTTTTGCCATTGATTTGGTCCCACACATCAGCCATTTTTTTCTTCGTACAAAGAGGAAACACCTCCTGGAACCGTTTTAAACCGTTTTTTACGGCTGTTTTTTACGGTAAAATTTCAATAACACAGTCGTTTTTTTAAACCTTGACTGAGGGTGAGTGATGGAGTTTGGCATGTCATGATGATCATGATATGAGTGGGGGATGTGTATATGCTGAGAGTTGATCCCTCAACCTTTAAGTCTTGAGGTGACGACCTACCCTTTGGGACATACTTGGTGCACAACACCTGAAAGAACGGTCAGTTGGTTATATTTGGTGCATTCGAAGACAGCAAGCATTTGTTTATGTCTTTTTACAACAGTTGAGGTTGAGTGATTCTGAACTGCAATATCTCCTTTCTGCACATTCAATGCAGAGATCTAACTGGCATCACTGTTACATGCCCTGCTGACTTCACCCCATGCGTGGTTGAACAAAATCCTCAAAGCGCTTTCTGCAGCTCGTGCCTCTCCTTCTGCACCACTTGTGTCAAGGCAGCAGCATGTAAGACGCGCTAAACTATCTTTTTTCCCAACATGCGTTCAGTTTGTTCGCGTTCACCATACAGTAAGTGAGTGAGTATCTCCACCCCCTCCACACAAGGTCCCGCTCAACCTCTGTAACACAACACAACCCCATATTTACAATTTCCTGTCACCTTCTGTGTCAGAGCTGTCGTGCAGTTCTGACGCACGTTTCTCATCGTGGCTGAATCCACTGAGGCTGTGCTGCAGTCGGTTTGCTGGGGCAGTCCGTTCTGCCGCGAGCAGCTCCCTAGCCTCCTGGCCCAATGTGTCTTCGCAGTCATGAAGCCTGCGTTGCAGTCGATACTGGTCAGTGCTGTCGGCGGCTGGTCGAGCCAGGGTGCCTGTCAGGTGGAGGCCGGCGGGTCCTGGTAAGGAGCTGAGCAGTGTCTGCGCTTGCACGAGGCTGGCGAGGCAGCTGTATCTGCCTTCGACCGAGGGGTCTGTGAGGCCTAGCCTTCCGAGGGGGGGTGGCAGGGACGCTTGTCCCCACACCCTCTGTTCTCCGCTCCGCCGGCCCCCCTCGGTTGGATGGTGAACGCCGCAGGCGTCAAGGAGGGTAAGGAGTTGTGCCTGGCCCCAGCGGGACCCCTCAGATTCGGGGAGGACGTGGAGAGGTGTCGTGTCGTGCGTGCAAGGTATGGGATCCGTCTTGAGATGCGTCTGGTCAGCAGCAGGTTGGCCAGTTGGGGGTCCGTTTCCGCGATGAGGGGAAGGGGGACGGCCATTTTGGCGAGCTGGTCCCGTAGGAATGTTGATGATCCATCTGCTGTGCCTATGTGGCTTCCCAGAACGCGTAGCCCTTCCGGCTTGTATGGCACGCCACGCCGTCCGGTCAGACTGTACCGTATCGGCGTCAAAGCTCCACACTGCTCCATGCCGAGCACTTGGTGGGGTTGTGGCCAGCCCTACTTCCACCAGCTGCAACGTTCAGAGGCTGAACGCGGCTGCACAGTCAGCTGCTGCTCCCAAGAATGTGACATCGTCCGTGTACGCCAGGCAGAGGACTGTCGGTAAGGCCGCTGATGTGGCCTTGAGGGCGGGGTGCATGCCTGCTGCGAAGAGCAGTGGGCCGAGGGGGTCTCCTTGGCGGACGCCTGCTTGGCTGAGTAGAAGTTCGCTCTCCCCTATGTTTTCTTTTACCCCGATTTTTTTTTTTCCCTGCCCGATTCAAAGCAATATTTTCAGAATGAACCCTCAGCGTATTGCATAGTACGCCAACGTATAGTTCCCTGGCGTCTTATACGCGAATCGAAGATCGACGAGATGAGATGAGTTGAGAACTAGCATATGAATGGGAAGCATCAGTGGTTCCACTGCCATACTACACAACTCAGTCCATTTAATCAGCACTACTTACTTGTGTGCCAGCCAGATGTGCTCCTCAGCACACCGTGATGACTTTTGAGTCGACTAAAAGATAATTACAAATGGCACTACTTAGGATCCAAGTTCATTGCGGAGTACCTACAAACCTGTAGGAAACACTTCGGCAAAAGGATCGAGACTGAGAAGTTGCTCCCAGAAATTCAAGTAATTCTCAAAACCTTCAAACTCGTCCGAATTCTTATTCGCAAACTAGTTTCGGCCTTCGGGACAAAACCCCGCCAGGTCTTCATCACTGCTGCTTTACAGTTGGCACAACTTACTTATGTGCTACATCAAGCGACTCAAAATTCCTTTAATCGGCAGTACTTACTTTAAGCTGTGCTAGATGAAGCTGTGTTCCCCAGCGCATCCCTTTCCTACTTTACCGCCTTCCTTTCCAAACCCATGTCTGTCTGTCCCCTCCCTTTCCATGTCCGTCCCATTTCCTCCAATATCCATCCCCTCCCTTACCTCCTCCAGCGGCCCCCTCCCCATCCCCAAGGAGCACCACAGTGTCCCCGTCTCCCCCCGCTGCCTCCCTAGCATCCTCCCCATCAACTGCAACGCCCACCTCCCAGCCTGGCAATATGTCTGCAGCAGCTGTTGCTGGTATTGCCGTGGCTGCTGTGGCTTCTTTGCTGCTCCTGGTGCTGGTTAGCTGGCTGCTGTGGAGGAGGGGGTTCAAGGGAAATTCAGTGAATGGAAAAGCAGCTACACCAGTGAAAGAGAGCAAGGATGTGCTACAAAGGCATTCTGAAGGTAGCAATCAAATCAACCTCTTCCCCTTCCTCCGTCCTCCACCCTTTCCCCTCTCATTCAAAGGTCTTGTATGGTGAATTGAAATGGGTAGAGTGCAAGCAGAGGGTTGGGTTGGCGGGCTGATGTGAAGAAGCTACATTAAATCATCGTTCACCCTTTCTGTTTCAATCTATATTGCAACTTGCAAGTACATAACACTTGGTAAGCATTGTCAGGATGATGGACGATTGGTCACACGGAGCATAGAGCTGGCAGGTTGGTGTGGCAGGGAAATGAGCCGAGAAAAAGTTAGAGGGTTCTACTTTTGGGACGTCTCAAAAGCCGAGAAAAAGTCACGGGGTTCTACTCCTAGTGTGCCGGATGATGGGGATGGAAGCTGGTGACTGGAGAGGGGATTGAGAGTTCTAGCTTTACAGCAGCAGTTCTGTAGTCAGAAAATCCTAACAGCCTTCTATTGCCAACCCATGTCTGTAGGGCGTGTGTGATTTTCGAAAAAAGCATAAGTTTACACTTTTTAGGTGATTTTCCCTTTTGAATTTAGGACGAACTGTAGTCGAATTTCACTCCCATCGAGGTTCTAACTGCACGTTATTTTTCAATTCAATGATGATGACACAACTTTGGTCAAATGTCGAGATTCGACCTTTTAGGCTACCCGGTCCCTGAAATGTGGCATTTCCTGACATCGTGACTTCCGCCTCTTCAGAAAGGCAACTTTTTTTTTTTTTTTTTCCTCGTACGCCTGGATTATTTCGCGAAACCATCGAACATGCCCGAAAGTGCACACGTTTGATTCAACAGGTTCTGAGTCGAGCCGAGTCGAGTTCATATATCTAGGTCGCACTTGCCGCGTGTTCAAAATGGGAACGTTTTCGCCGGACCCTTCTCACGACATTCACGACAGTGCTAAGTTCGACCCGTTTTCCGAACCTAGGAAAATATCACACAGGCCCTAAAAGGAGTTTGTCAACACATTCCTCGCCTGATACCCGCCCACTCCCGCTTCTACTCTCCTCTCCATGTTCATGTTGTACTCACTGGTAGCTGTAAGAGTAGGAATTGTCTGAAAAGCCATCCTATCTCAGTATTTATTCCCTCGAGCCTATGGCACGATACTCACGGCGCCTTCTCCTTTCATCCCATACTTACGAGCAGGTCTGGCAGGCAGTGTGGCGGCCTCGCACTGCACGGAGTACTCTTTGGAGGAAGTGCTCACAGCCACCAGCAACTGGGCGAGTGACAACCAGCTGAGGTCGGGCTCCTTTGGTGACGTGTACAAGGGCGTGTCTCCGCGCGATGGCACCACACTGTGGGCCGTCAAGCGAGCCAAGCTGCTTGAAGCTGACTTTTTGCGAGAAGTAAGTAATCTCTTCTGTGGTATGTGTGCTTAATCTGATGTACTCATCATGCTTAAATCTTTGAACTCACGGCATCAAAGCAGCTCATTGTGAAACGATGTGTGCCTTGCATTGCTTTGCAGGCTATCCATCCCGTACATTGTGCTCTCACACATAGGGGAGCATGTCAAATCTCTCGGTCCAGGTTGAAGTGAATCAGACTTGCTACCCATGTTGCAAGCAATGACCGTTTTCAACCCATCACACAAGAACATTTTTTTTCCAAATTAAATCTGAGTGATATTGTTCAACCCGTCTCAATCCGACCCGGTTTTGCTCAGACCCGGTCGGGTCAACAGGGCGTTTTGGCCTGAAATTTCCCCAGCCTGGCCTTCAAGGGGTCGTGTCGGCAGATTAGCTGGGGTCCGAACTTTCAAATTCCAGCGCTGGGTCAGTCAGTCAGGACGGATCGGCCAGGTGTGGTCAAGCCCACCAGAGAAACGGACCGACCCAGCCCAAATGCTCGGACCCGTTCTGCCTGGACCGTTACAATCTTTTCGATCCCTTTTGTTGCTTTAAGCATTTTACAATCTTTAGAAGTGCTGCTCTTCCACTATGAGCGAAGATACTCGGACCGGACCCGACCTGCCCGGACCGTTTGCTCAGGCCTACCCACAAGGACATGTAATTCACATGTTCTGTATCCAATCGCATTGTGTGTAGCCAATCGCAAGGTGATGTTTTCTCAAATAATGTCTGTTGAACCAGCCATCTCATGTTTACTCTATTCGTTAACGAACCGCTTTAGCAAAGAGCCGGAGCGCGATCCGTGATAAAGTGCAACACCAGTTCGGCCGAGCTGGGTCGGTTCGTTACCGAAACGAACCGGTTTGCTAGGGCCCTTTCACTGTAGTTACCACTATCTAAAACCTAAATAGGAAACGTGGGAAACACACCACTGTCAGGTGGGTGGGGGCATGAGAGAGAGAGTTGGAGACTGGAATGAGCTTCAAGACTGGTTTTTAGCTTAGTATATAAACCTGTTTGCTTTGGTGCAGCTCTCCTTATAGCTTGCTGCTAACGAACCAGCCAAACCGGCAAACCGGTTCGGTAAGAAACTGATCGCCCAGAAAATAGTTTGGTTTGGGTAAGAACAAACCAAACCGCACTGCACCAAATGGGAATCCGTTTTATTCATCATGCCTCCACGAAGGCATGTTCTTCAAACTGTCCCGCAAAGCCTTTATTTGCAACCTGTTCCACGCTGATACTGTTTTTTTCTTACAGGTGCGACAAATGGCCGACAAGAACCATCCCAACATCGTGCGGCTTTTTGGGTTTGCCGTCGGAGGGGACATGAGGACGCGACTAGAGCAAGTCTTGATCTACGAGTTTGTTCCGAATGGTGACCTTGAGAAGTGGATCAGTACAGGTGCCCACGTCTCCACAGGCCATATTCATTTGTTCTTTCTTTCATAACGCAGTGGAAGCTCACAATGTGTCATTCTTGAACTCTGCAGAAAAACCCTTCCACCTCAGCTTGAAGCAGTGGCTGGACATCCTCATTGGTGCTGCACGTGGCTTGGAGTATCTCCACAGCTTTGGCCTTGTGCATCGCGACATCAAACCCGCCAACATCCTCCTCACCGCAGACATGCAGGCAAGCTTCTTACTGCCTGCAATCATGAAATCATGCAGTCAGTTGTATATTCGAATTCCCTCTTCATCTTGCACAATCTAAAGCCACGGCATGCAAATTTGGAGGGTGATCATTCTTTGTGTTGGTCAGCCAGGCACCTGGAAGGAACATACATATATGGCAAGCCAATCTTGAAACGAAACAGGTGTGGTCCAGAAGAACAAAGGATCACTGTTCTTTTTGGGAGTTGTAAAATGCTCACTATAAAACTTCAGTGAAACCAGGGTGCAATATGAGTCACGTTTACTCATGACTTGACAAGATTTACGACCAAACAGCTCAATATAAAGTGTTCTTCTATACTAGAACAAGGAGTCTTTGCCCACCTTGATTTCGTGATTTCCGCCTTGATATTCATCAGGCCAAGATTGCGGACTTCGGGCTGGTGAGAGTGGTAGAGGGCTCCACAGTGGGCACCACTCGAGTGATGGGAACACCGGGCTATGTGGATCCCATCTACTTCCGCACGTCAAAGGCAACCAGCGCTACTGATGTCTACAGGTGATATGTTACCATGTTGTCTCTACTGGTTAACCAGTGTTACGTGATTTCAGGTTCTCAGCAGGCGGATTGGGTTTACTGTGTTTACAAAAAGGGGAGACATTTGAACCTAAACATGCAAGAGCACCACTCGTGGTGGTGTGAATAAATCCGTTGCCTTTCTGTTTTTGCAGCTTCGGTCTGCTCATGCTTGTGGTCGTCTCTACAGCTGCCCACTGTATAAAAAGGTTGGGAGGTACATAGTACCTCTCCTGATGCTCTCAATGCCTCCACCTCTGTGTGTGCAGCTTCGGTGTGCTCATGCTTGTGGTCCTCACACAACGGAGCCGCCCGCTCTATATGGATGATGGAAATTGCGAGCACATCTTGTCATGGGTGAGTGCTACCCCATCCTGTCATGCATGGGTAAGTGCGACCACATCCTGTCATGCATGGGTGGTGTCTTCTTGTTGCATGCACCACTGCTGCATGTGACACCACCAGCACACGATGCTGCTGGCGCTGCTGCACATAACATAAATGGTTTGGCTTGCACTATGGCATATTCATCGTTACATTCTTGAGTGTCGGCGTGCCCTGCATGCCAATCTTGACATGTGTCGTATTCACCAGCCTGTTCCCTTCTAGACTCACTTTACCCAAACAACCTGGCCCACCTTGGGACTTCAGCATTGGCTGTGTGATTTCTCTTGCCATCCGTACCCTCCTCGATTTAAGGTGGAGGAGTGCATTTCCTCCGGCGCCCCATCCCGCCTCAAGGACCTCAGCATGGACGCCCCGGATGATGCTGTGCTGCGCCTGGCCCAGCTGGCTCTTAGTTGCACTGTGCAGCGCACTGCAAGCCGACCGAGCATGACAGGCATTGCCAACGAGCTGCTTGCTACCAGGAATGAGGCGGTGGGGGCAGAGGAGCTGAGTGCAGCAATTAAGGTGGACGAGCAAGCCCAAGAGATGAAGAGTGCCTCTTCCATTGTGACAGGCTTGGATGCTCCTCTGCGGTTTGCTGATAAGCCTCCTACATGGAAGTCTCTGTGGCAAGCAGCTAGTTACTGGACTAAATTTGTCTGACAGTGATAACCGAGTGCCATGTCCAAACCACCTTGGTGATGTTGTGGAACACACTTGTAAGAGCTACAAATACATATTAGTGGTAGTCTTGTATAATGTATTTTGTAATGGTATATATTAGGGCTCTCTTTTTCATATCCCCAGAGGCCAGGCCCTAATATTTCAGTGGGTTTAGAGCTCAAGGTTAAGGGTTTTAGGTCCAACGCTGAAAAGTGAGTACTAATTTGGGCATGTTAGAATAAGGACCTTTGGATAGGATAGGTCTGCCTAAAGTTTGTAGCGGAAGTCTTTGATGAGAACCTTGTTGCATATTGAATGTAAATGACAAGATTGATTAGAATGAAAACATTACACACATTATGTAGATCCTAGGTAGCCATGTACTACCGTAATCACCCGGATATAAGACCCCCCCCAGTTGTAGACCCCCGGGTATATAATACGGACGTGGGTCTTATATTTGGGTATGTTTTTGTTATACCCCCCTTTTTGGCTGAAAACATTATAAGACCCCCCACCTTTACAGCGAACGTGTGATTTTATAATATTATAGAGTCGTTTTGTGAAGGAGAACATAATGTTTCCCCTTCGGATGCAGTCACGTGGGCATCGCACCGTCAATGTTGTGCATTCTTTTGTTTTTTTCCGCCATTACGAGGCTCATGAATCAAAGTTTGACCAGTTGCGAGGGTGATGCCACCTGGCAAATGTCTGACTGTGCGATTCTCATGGTCTTGCTTTGAGATTCGTTTGACTTGATTGGCTATGTGGTTGTCCAATCAGAGAGCAATATCTGGATTTCACATTCACAAACAGTCGTCACAAAAACATCCTCGGCGTACCGCTTTTCCGTAATCTAAAAACGAATCAAACACCAACATGAGCTTTGCATTCAAATACAAGTGAAAAAAACATGTTCATTTGTAAAGACCCGGGTCTTATATTACTATGACAATATGAGAAGACCCCCCACCATTTTTTCCCGTAGTTTTCATAAGACCCTAGGGTCTTATATCCGGGTGATTACGGTATGAGGGGTACATTCCCTCATTAATTGTAATACAGACATCGCTACAGTGCTCGTGATTATTGCGATCCTTGGGTTACCGGTGACTATTGTAAGTTATGCCTGTTGTAATTCCTCGCAACCGTTCGGTCCAGGTCAGTCAATAGTCGCGACAGTTGACTTGCAACTGTTGACCTGCGTGCCCTACCGTATATGGGCTAACGCGATAGTAGTACAGTTACTGCTTCGTCAGTAGCGGGTGCATTACTGCTGCACCTTCGCGAATGCAAAGTAGTGAAGGCCGACCCAGTTTGAAATGGAGCGGGTTCAAGCCACAGTTGCAAAACTATGGGGCAATGGAGATCGAAACTTTCTGTCCATAAAGATTGGCTCCTGCCAGATTGCTGATCGTGAAGCGAAAAAACAGCGCGCCAGAGTTTTGCGGTTTTGAAAACAGCGGTTCATCATGCGACACCATCTGGTCAGGTGGAAGGCGATGACCACCATATCCAATTGGGTCCAACTCAATTTTCAAGTTGAACTTGGGTTCACTGACTGACTTCCAACGTCAGCCGAAGACCGCAATCTCAAGTTCCCCCACCATCAAAGTGTCAGAAATAACTGAGCAGGAATGGAATGAACTAGCACAGAGTTTGGTACAAGTAGGAAACCCTAACTTTGAGTACCCCCTAAGGTGTAACCCACTACAGCCTACATAATACAAACATGCAATGTTTGACACACCCCCATAGGCGCAGTGGGAGACAACCACAGGGTCACAAGACCAGTCAAAGCAAAGCAAAGCAAGCTCAGGGTGGATCTCAAGGATTCCACACAAATTCCGAGCACAAGCAAGCGGTCACAAGACCAGTTCACATGCAGGTTTATAACAAAGCAAGAGATACAGTGATCACAACCTAGCAAAAGTAAACAAGTAGGCATATATATATAGTGATCACAGTACAAGCAAGGTCAAGAGGTAAGCAAGTGAGGCCCAGTAGGTACAAGGCCTAGCAGAGTGCAAAAGCGCTGATGGTCACAAGGCTGAAGCGCCTTGGTGAACACATCAGCAGTGTTGGCCTCCGTGGCCACGTAACGCAGACAAAGCTGACCACGCTGCTGCAGCTCTCGAGCAAGGAAGTACCGCAGAGCGATGTGCTTCGTTCTGTGCTCCAGTCTGTGCTCCTCACACAAGGCAATGGCAGCCTTGTTGTCGACGTACAGCACTGGAGGAGAACGAGGCCGCTCTCCGAGGTCGGTCAGCAGGTAGGTCAGCCAGCGTAGCTCCTGAGCAGCCATGGCTGTGGCGTAGATCTCAGCCTCACAACTGGAGCTGAGAACAGAAGAAGAGCGAGTAGAACGCCAAGAAACTGAGCCAGAGCCAAGACTGAAGGTGTAACCCTGGGACGACCGCTGAGTAGCCTGGTCGTCTGCCCAAGAAGCGTCTGAGTGCCCTGTGAGAACAACCCGGTCTCGCCCTCCAAGCACAAGCCCCATGCCCGACGTACTGCACAAGTAGCGCAACACCCTCTTAGCAGCATCCATGTGCTCCTTCCGGTGACGGCCAGGAGCGACATAGCGTGCTAGGATGCTAAGAGGGTATGCAAGGTCAGGTCGAGTGCAGGTCATCAGGTACATGAGGCAGCCCACAAGCTCTGGATACGGGCCACTCGGCTCTACGGACTCATCCGAAGGCAGAGCTGAGAGCGAGTGACCGGTAGGCAGAGGAGTGGACTGAGGCGAGGAGTACGTGAAGCGGAAGCGCTGGAGAACCTGCTGCACCATGTGTGACTGAGTCAGGGTGATGGTGCGCCGTGCTCTGTCCCGGGTGATCCGCAAGCCAAGATAGCTCGTCAGCTCACCCAGGTCTGTGCACGTGTGTCTCCTCTGCAGCTCCGACTTCACGTGAGCGAGTGCCGCGGTGTCAGCAGTGGCAAAGACCAAGTCGTCGACGTACACGAGGATGTAGAACGGCGGCAGCGAGGTGTCGGTGCGTAGAAACAGCGACGGGTCAGCAGTAGAGGGAGCGAACCCAAGAGCGGCAAGTGTCGTCCTCAGTGTGTCGTGCCACTCACGTGGCGCCTGTCGGAGACCGTAGACCGGCCGCTGAAGCCTCCACTGGGTGCCAGGAGGAACTGACCCAGTGAAGCCAGGGGGGCGGCGCAGCCAGATCTCCTCGTGCAGGCTGCCCTGCAAGAAAGCAGTGCTGAAGTCAAGAGAGTGAAGCTCGTAGTCGCGGTGAGCGGCTATGTGCAGCAGCACCCGAAGAGTAGTCATCTTCGGGGTGGGGGAGAAGGTCTGAAAGAAGTCTACTCCCTCTCGCTGACTGAAGCCTCGAGCCACGTAGCGCGCCTTGAAGACAGGTGGAGAACCCGGCGGCCGCTTCACCCTGAAAATCCACATGCCACTGACGATGTTCGCCCCAGGAGGGGGAACCTCGTCTACGTAGGTGCCTGTGGACTTCCAGGAGGCCATCTCTGCGTCCATGGCTGTCTGCCACTGAGAGGAGTAGGGACCCGCCATCGCCTCAGCGTAAGAGCGTGGGGTCGGGATGTCTGGTGCATCCGGGTCTCCCTCAGGGGCAACTAGCAAGGACACGAGACGGGGCAAAGCAGCAGCAAGGCAGTGGAACTCCTCCTGTCTGTCCTCAAGGACGTCCGTGCCGAGGGCACACTCACCCCCGACGGACGGAGGACAGGCAGACACAGACTCAGACCTAGCGACAAGGCTGGCAGCGTAGTCTAGGCGACAGCGAGCAGCAAAGTCAACCAACTCAGCGACCAGAGCAGACGCAGCAGATGACTCAAAGGTCGGGTCAGTGACAACAGTGGCGAGAAGACGGGTGACAGTGGGACTGGCAGCACGACGGGAGTCAGACTCCGGGTCAGGAAGAGTAGGAAGAGAGGACGCAGGAGGAGACGGCAGCGGGACACGCTGCGGAGCAGTGGAGGGACGCAGAGTCATGTAGTGAGTGCCAGGGACAGGAGGAGGACGCTCACGTGGGACACGACGACCAGTGCGAGCAGTACGAACAGGCGACGCAGGACGAGACTCAGGCTCACGACGCTCTGTAAGACCTCCTGTGGGACCAGTGTAAGGGGAGGGAGCAGGGAGAGGCGAGGCAGGCGGTAACTGTGACTGCGGCTGGACAGGCAGAGGACACTCGACGGAGGGAGGAGGACTAGGAGGAGGAGCCTGACCAAGAACCTGCTGAAGGAGCGGTACGAAGTACGGTCGCGGCCGCGCAGCGTCTCCAGAAGCAGCAGGGACACCAGTGGCAGCCCCAACGCCCGAGTCCTCAGCACCAGTAGCAGCTCCAACGCCCGGGTCCTCAGCACCAGTAGGAGCTCCAACGCCCGAGTCCTCAGCACCAGCAGCAGCGCCACCGGTCGGGTCCTCAGCACCAGCAGCAGCTCCAACGCCCGGGTCCTCAGCACCAGCAGCAGGGCCACTGGTCAGGTCCTCAGCACCAGCAGCAGCGCCACCGGTCGGGTCCTCAGCTCCAGCAGCAGCTCCAACGCCCGGGTCCTCAGCACCAGCAGCAGCTCCAGCCCCCGGATCCTCAGCACCAGCAGCAGCTCCAGCGTCCGGGTCCTCAGTACCAGCAACAGCACCACCGCTCGGGTCCGCAGCACCAGGAGCACCACTACGAAGACTGCAGCGCCGCGTGTACCACTCGCGGATCACCTGAATGGGGGGGAGCTCCTGGGTAGGAGGGGAAGTACCGGGACGAGCTCCAGAAGCACCTCTCCGGAGGCGGCAGTACTCGAGGTACCTCTCCTGCAGCTGCTGGGAGGAGAGGGCTCCTCCAGGTGGAGCACGCTCAGGCTCAGCACCCCCAGACTCAGCACCCCCAGACTCAGCACCCCCAGTCTCAGCACGTCCAGACTCAGCACCCCCAGGCTCAGTACCTCCAGGCTCCGCACCTCCAGGCTCAGCACCCCCAGGCTCCGCACCTCCAGGCTCAGCACCCCCAGGCTCCGCACCCTCAGAC